GCATAATGTAGGTGGCGCCGTCGGTGTGGCGACCGCCTATATGGAACCCTCATGGCTATTGTCCGTGCGAGACGCCCCAAACCTCGCTGCAATGCTGCGGCCTGCTGGGAGGGCGTCATATTGCCCGTGGTCACGTGGATCTAGGCATGTACTTCGCGGGCGAACTCGCGAAATGGTACTTGACCGGCAGGGTCCCAACGGGGGCCAGTCGTTCTAGTGTCGTCTCCGCCCCGCGTATGTCCTACCGCGCACCCAATAGCGACCCATATGAGCCCAAAGATAGTAGCCCCAATCCAGTGGCCTCGTAGGTAGTCGGATGTAGTCGGTGGGGAATTGTGTTTTGTCGTCGTAAGTTTGCGTGGGGTCGGAGGCGGCAGTATGTCGTATCGCATGTTTCCATGCATTACGTCTTCGAAGAAATTTCCAAGTGGAGTAGGTGGGTGGACCTCAGGGATGTAAGGTGTGAGTGAGAGACCTCCACTTGGACAGAGGTATCGCTGCAAACTTCCTTGCGGTACTGCGCAGTTATATACACTCCTCCGCGCAATCCAACTGCACCCTGATGTTCCACCATATCTGTAGTCCACCAGATAGTGCCGTGGATGGTGAAGAATAGAGCTAGAGCTGACTACCATAGGCCAGCTCCGCTACCAAGTTTGAAGGGGGCTGGAAGGCCCAGCCAACAGCTTCGCCTCAGGCGAAGCCAAGCTCCAACACTGCTGTACCGTAGTAGCGATAGTCCCAGTATGAGAGGAGATGCCATCTCAAGCAATAGGAAGATCTTTTTGGTTTCGATAGTGATTGTGTGCCTCGCAGTGAGCCGCAATCAAATTTGGGCGGCCGGCCGCTTGAGCCGACGCGGCCGCGGGCGCACGCTCGCTTACACTCCTTACGTCTCTCAACTCGCTTTAGAATCACCTGGGGTCCAAAATGCCGTGTAAAGGGGGGGGGGGGGGCAGAGCTCATCAACGCACCCCCGGGACCTCCGGAGCCTCCAAAAAAACCCAAGACGGCCCAGACAGAGCGCCAAGATAGTCCAAGACAGCGTCGAGACGGCCCAAGGTAGCCCCACGACGGTCCAAGATGGCTGCAAGACGGCCCACGAGGCTCCCAAGACGGCCCAAGACTGCTCCCAGAGGACCGCAGAGAAGGCCCCAAGAAGCAAAAATCGTCCCACTCCCTTTGGAAAGCGTGCAATTTTAGCATACTCGTCTTTTTCGCCTTGACAGCGTCCTGGACGGCTCAAGGGGCCCCCAAGATCGTCCCATGACGGCCCATGAGGCCCCCATGAGGCCCCCAAGAAGGCCCTAAGACGGCCCAGGAGGGCCCTAAGACGGCCCCAGGGGCCAACAAGACGGCCCAAGAGAGCCCCACAAGGACCCCAAGAGAGCCAAAGGGGGGGAATACGAACTGACATTTCGAGCCTTTCCCACCAAAATGGCCCCAAGAGCCCCCCGGAGGACCCCGAGGCGCCCCAAAGAGGCCCCAAGAGGCGTCCAAAACGCCCCCAAGAAGCCCCCAAGAGGCCCCAAAAAGCCTCCGAGATGCCCCCAAGAGCCCTCCCAGAGGCCCGCGAGAGACATCCCAAGAGACCCTCATGTTCATCCAAGAGGCTCCTGACCCACAGCCCGGGCACGGTGGCGAGTTGGACCGAAGGCCACTAGATCCGCCGCCCCCTGCTTGCAGGGGTGCACGGCGTGCTGGACGTTTCAGGTTTTGGTTTTGGTTCTTTTTCCAAAAGAACTTCCTAGTGGGCTCCGGCAGAACCCGCCGGCCACCCGGAATTTCCCCAAACGTGCTCAACGACCGCAAAAAATCCTCCAAGAACGGCCGTTTCGCTCGGGACATCCTCAAAAAATCGCGAAGATGGCCCAAGATGGCCTCCAAGTCCGCCCGAGATGGTCCAAGACGGCCTCCAAAACGGCCCAAGAGAGTCCAAGACGGCCCAAGACGGCCCAAGAGGCCCCCCAGAGGCCTCCCAGACGGCCCAAGAGGCCTCCAAGAGGTCCTCCAGGAGAGTCCGAAGAGGCCAAAATCATTGATTTTTCCTTGGTTTTTGAAGGATTCTGGCATTTGCGCCTTTTCGGCTCTCCGACGGCTCGAGACGGCCCAAGAAGCCCCCAAGATCGCCCAAGAGGCCCCCAAGAGAGCCCCATGATGGCCCAAGTGGCCTCCAAGATGGCCCCTAAAGGGCCCCAAGAGGGCCCAAGAGGCCTCCAACACGCCCAAGATGGCCTCCCAGACGCCCAAGATGGCCTCCAAGACGGCCCTGGAGCGCCCCAAGAGGGTCCCCCGTTGGCCCAGAAAGGCCCCAAAACGGCTCCCGACGGCGTCAGACGTGCCAGGAACCCACCAAGATGGCCGAAGTTGGCTCGAAGCTGGCCCAAAAGGGCCCAAGAGGCCCCCAAGAGGGCCTCCAGGAAGGCCAAAAGATGCCCAAATCACTGATTTTCCAAGGTTTTTGATGGATTTGGGCATTTCCCTTTTTTCGGCCTTCCGACGGCCCGAGACGGCCCAAGAGCCCCCAAAGATCGCCGAAAGATCGCCCAAGAGGCCTCCAAGACGGCGACGATGACCATCAAGACGCCCACGTGTTCCCCGAAGGCTTTCCAAACCGATTCGGGGAACACATGGTCCGATGGCTTGGCAGGTCTGGCCTCAACGTTCGGCCACATAGGCGCTTCCACAAAGGCAGGGGGCGGCGGTGATTCGCCGTAGGCGTCTTCGATCCGCCGCCCCCTGTTGATTCATCGGGGTGCCTGGCGTGCTGAATCCTCTCGGTTTTGGTTTTGGTTCTTTTTCCAAAAGAACTCCCCCTGGGGCTTCGGCGCGTCCCGCCGGCCACCCGAAAGGGAATCCCAGGCCCAGAAACGACCCCAACGTCAAAAAATTATCCCAGTGCGACCCTACCTAGGAGTTGGAGCCCCTAGGAAAGCAGCATTAGTAGTAACAGTAAAGCTAAGCTGAAGCTAAGCTAAAACTAAGCTAAAGCTAAGCTAAAGCTAAGCTAACGCTAAGCTGAAACTAAGCTAAAGCTAAGCTAAAGCTAAGCTGAAGCTAAGCTAACACTAAGCTAAAGCTAAGCTAAAGCTAAGCTGAAACTAAGCTGAAGCTAAGCTAAAACTAAGCTAAAGCTAAGCTAAAGCTAACTATCAGCTAAAGCTAAGCTAAAGCTAAGCTAAAGCTAAGCTAAAGCTAAGCTAAAGCTAAGCTAAAGCTAAGCTAAAGCTAAGCTGAAGCTAAGCGAAAGCTAAGCTAAAGCTAAGCTAAGGTTAAGCTAAATCTAAGCTAAAGCTAAGCTAAATATAAGCTGAAGCTAAGCTAAAGCTAAGCTAAAGCTAAGCTAAGCTAAAGCTAAGCTAAAGCTAAGCTAAAGCTAAGCTAAAGCTAAGCTAAAGCTAAGCTGAAGCTAAGCTGAAGCTAAGCTAAAGCTAAGCTAAAGCTAAGCTAACACTAAGCTAAAGCTAAGATAACACTAAGCTGAAGCTAAGCTATATCTAAGCTAAATCTAAGCTAAAGCTAAGCTAAATCTAAGCTAACACTAAGCTGAAACTAAGATAAAGCTAAGCTACAGCTGAGCTAAAGCTAAGCTAAATATAAGCTAAAGCTAAGCTAAGGCTAAGCTAAAGCTAAGCTAAAGCTAAGCTAAAGCTAAGCTAAAGCTAAGCTCGAGCTAAGCTAAAGCTAAGCTAAAACTAAGCTAAATCTAAGCTAAATCTAAGCTAACACTAAGCTGAAGCTAAGCTAACGCTAAGCTAAAACTAAGCTAAAGCTAAGCTAACACTAAGCTAAAGCTAAGCTAAAGCTAAGCTAAAGCTAAAGCTAAAGCTAAAGCTCCCAGGGAACTGGGGGAACCGCGGGGCGGGGACTGGGGGAACCGCCCGGGGCGCTTTCCACTGCCCGGCCCCTTTAAGCTAGAGAGTAAGAACCCTTCTAGGCAGAGCCTAGGTAGGGAAAAATCCTCCAAGGCGACTGAAGATGGCGTCCAAGATGGCCAAGATGGCCTCCAAGATGATTCTAGACGGTTCTAGATGGCCTCCCAGACGGCCCAAGAGGGTCCAAGATACCTCCAAGTTCGCCCAAGAAGCCTCCAAGTCGGCCCAAGAGGCCCCCAAGAGGTCTTCCAGCCAAAATCGCTGATTTTCCCTAAGGAAGGTTTTGAAGGAGTTTGGCATTTGCTTCTTCTCGGCACTCCGACGGCTCAAGACTGCCCAAGAGGACCCCAAGATCGCCTCAAGCTCGCCCACGAGGCCTCCAAGATGGCCCCATGACAGCCCAAGAGGCCCCCAAGACGGCCCCAAGAGAGCTCCAAGAGGCCTCCAAGACGGCCAAGATGGCCTCCACCTCCAAGACGGCTAAGATGGCCCCAAGATACCTCCAAGACGGCCCAAGATGCACCCAAGACGGCCTAAGATGACTTCAAAATGGCCCAAGACGGCCCCAGAGGCCCCCAAGAGGCCCTCAAGACGGCCCAAGAGGCCTCCAAGAGGTCCTCCAGGAGGGCCCGCAGAGGCCAAAATCATTGATATTCCTTAGGTTGTTGACTGACTTTGGCATTTGCTTCTTCTCGGCACTCCGACGGCTCAAGACGGCCCAGTAGGCCCCCAGGATCGCCCCAAGATCGCCCACGAGGCCTTCAAGATGGCCCCACGACGGCCCAAAAGGCCCCCAAGACGGTCCCAAGAGAGCGCAAGAGGCCTCCAAGACGCCTAAGATGGCCTCGAAGACGGCCCTGAAATGCCCCAAGAGAGCCCCAAGACGACCCAGACAGGCCCTCAAGACGGCTTCCGACAAGCCAGGAAGGCCCTAAGACGGCCAAAGAGGCCCCCAAGAAGCCCCCAAAGGCCCCCCCAAACCCTCCAAGAGGCCCCCAGGAAGCTCCCAGGAGGCCCCAAGAGTGCCCCAAGAGGCGCCCGGTGATTCGCCGTAGGCGTCTTCGATCACTTCCACGATCGTCGAAAGCTCTCACTCCGTGTGGGGGTCGGCGGAATGGCGTAAGCCACTTGAATATCGGATTCTCCAAGCTGGCAGCCTTCCCGTACCAGATGGCCATCTGCTTGTTCACCTCTTTCTTCCAGGTTTGTATGCTGTTCTCGCTGTGCTTCTCGAACACCTGCGACACGACGGCGATGAAGATGTTGCTGAGCGTGCCGGTGAGCATGAAAGCGAGCAAGAGGAAGAAGATGGTGCCCCAGATCGTGTAGTCCTCGGTCAGCTCATCCGCGTCCCAATCGCCGTATAAAAAGCGGTACCTCCGCTCAAAACGGGTTCCCGGACTCCTTCTGGGGTCCGAAGCCGCGTCCAGCCGCGGCGACGAGGAGGGCCCCCGAAGGCCAAAAAGCCTCGAACCTCGATCCTCGAGGTTCGAGGTTCCCTCCGCCGAGGTACATCATGTTGAAGGCCGCGGGGAGGACGGACTCGTAGGAGAGGGCGCTGGACCCGAAGCACGCGTTCATGGCGACCCCGACGCCGAAGACCAGGAACATGACGAAGAGCAGGAAGAGGATGACCTTCATGTCCACCAGCGTCTTGGCGACAGCCTGGTTTTTTTTCCCCAAAAAAACACGCCAACGAGAAGCCATCGCAGAGTTGCGTGCCTGAGGCGATCGAATCACAGAGCTGGCGCACGTTAAAAGGCCAGTCGACACACAAGGAGGACGAGGAAGTGGGAGAAGGAGGAGGGGCACGGGCGCTGGCGACAGCCTGGATTTGGGGGCCGATGTGCGGGAGGAGCCGCAGCAGCTTCATAAAGCGGAGCGTCAGCACGAGGAGCGCCGAGCCGCAGACGAACTGGGCATTGCGCCCTACTTCGGAAACGATGCCGAAGTTCACAAACTCGTCCTCCTGGAGCCCAGCCCTCAGACCCATCTCCAGACCCAGCATCGCGACGAGCTTGATGCACATGACCACAAGGAGCACGCCCAACAACAGGTCGAACAGATTGCCGCGGTCTCGAAGGTAGTTCTTCCGCAAGGTGCGGGCTTGCCCTATCTCTTCCATCACGTACGCCGCGGTGTAGAGGATGAGGAACAACAGCAGGAGGCCAACGTCCCAATTCTCGTTCCACAATGTGTCCAGCGGCGCCCAACGGAAGATTTGGCTGACCTTCGAAGGCCTCACCCGGCCGGTCTCCGTGAACGCCACGGACAGCGTACAGGTGTAGACCATGCCGAGCTGGGTGTTGTATGCTGCGAAGTGGACCCTCACTGCCGAGGCGCTATTATCTAGCCAGCCGTCTGCCCTGAGGGCAACGAGGCTGCTGAGCGCTGCATTCCTGTCGCGGGAGGGGAGGTCGACCGTGTCGGAGGCGGCCGCCCAGGCGCTCTGGCCCAGTATGCAAGTCTTCTGCCAGCCGAAATCCTGAAATTCGTTCGGGATCTGGTCGTTGCAATTGCCACTCACTTCGAAAGAGCGCCGCTCCATGCGGACAGGCCCGAGGAGGTACGTGTAGGGGGTGATCATGCCAGGCTGCTCTTCAGCGTCGGGGGGATAGAGGACGCCCTCCATGACGGCAGAGAACGTCCAGAACAAGTCCAAGTCCACCATATCATAAAAGGTTCCGTGGTCATCAGATAATTCCTCCGTGAAGATCATGTCTTCAAAGAAACGGTCCATGTCTATGGAGGCGCTCCAATCATAAGACTTGATGAGAAAGCCAGGCCCCCCGACGAAGAGCTGCTTGACGTTGAGGTAGACGAGACCGAAAGCCACTAAGAAAACGACGACACGTCGGACTATGAACCGGATAAGGAACTTTTCGCGGTACCAGCGCGCTTCCTCTTTCTCGGCCATGACCTCGATCATATCCAGGGCCATCTTGACGACGTCGGAAGACACGCACCCAGACTTGGTGGTGCCTTCGTGGATCTGCAGCAGTGCCACGTGGAAGGCCGACGGCGGCCACTCAGCCACCACCGACAAGGCGGGCCGCATACCCACGACCGTCTGGAAGTATCGCCAATAACGACGACTCCGTGTTGTATCGCTCTGCTGCCGGCCCTTGACGACGAGGTGGGCATCCCTCTCGGACCCAAGTAACACCTTGAGGGTGTCCGCGTGCCCGTGGTAACAGGCCAAGGCACACGGCGTCCAGCCGCTCACGTCCTGCACGTTGATGCCCGCCTCCGCCGCCGTATCCTCCTTCTCTACCTGCAGGAGCAGCTCTGCGAGGCGGTGGTAGTTGTGCACCGCGCACCAGTGCAAGGGGAACCGCCCATCACCGTCGGTCCTGAACGCCATCCCGCCCATTCGCTTACTCTTCAGCCTCTCGGCCCAATCCATCTGCACGCAGTCGTCCTTGACCTCGCTGTACCCCTCCATCAGGGGGGTGGCCAGGTCGTGCCACGGCGTCCGGCCCTCGTGCAGATGCTGCATGTTCTCGGTGAAGTCGTCGCAATTCGCGTCGCGGAGGGCCCGCACCACCTCCCACATTCCGCGGGCGGCCGCTTCTCGCACTGGGACGGCACCCCCTCCGCCGTCCCTGTCGGACGTGAATTGTGTGTCCACGCCCACGAAGTCTTCTTTCTGGTAATTCGCCGGCCCAGCGGGCCAACGGCGTGCTAGATCCTTCTGGCCAGCGTCCCCCCTACCCCCAGGCCCCAGGACACTCCCTGTGTTGTCTTGGCGTTCCGCCGAGATCCTACAATTTGTCGCCTTCTCCCACCCCTGGGGGGGCCCTGGGACACATAAGAACACAGTGGAGTGGGGCCGTGCCATTTTTGCGCCCTTTGCAAACGCAATTGAACCAACCACGGAGCAGCAACAGACTTCCTCGCCAACGTGCCTACCGCAATCGACCGAAGCAGTGGGGCCGCGCTCCCAGGGCCACGATCCCTCGTAAAAAACTATGGGTCCGCGCTCGCGCAATCAAGACGACCCCAAGACGCAATGGGTTTCCCAAACGCGCCAAGAGGCCTCCAAGACGCCGCAGAGGCCTCCACAATGCCACAAGAAGCCTCCAAGACGTTCCGCCCCAGGAGGCCTCCAAGAAGCGACGGGTGACACGTCGAAACGTCGACGGGTAATAGTGCGTCGCAGATACCCACTCATGTCGGTGGCATCGCTGTCCTGCACGTAGCAGGTCCGCATCTGGGAAACCACGCGTTAATATTCAACGAGGTCGGGAAGCCTGCTCTGTCGGGAGTAAACGCGAGGAACGCATGTACTTCCTGTCATGAGAAATCGCCCAAGTAGACGACGCGGTCGGCGCGGTGGAACCGGCAACCCGGCTCATGAGGTACGCAGGTAGCTATACGCGCATTTGCAGGCCCGTCACTCCACGCGTCGCTTGCACTCTTCGTCTGAGAAGTCGCCAGCTACACTGCATAGTTCCTTGTCGTACACTACCCCACTGCATCGCAACAGGCGTCATCTACTTGTAAACGCATCTCGGCCCGAACCACGCGACTGCTTTTGCTGACAGACCGGTTAACACCATGAAGACGCTTGCGTGAATGTCGCCGTTGGGGTCGTGCTGAGCGACGGCGCGTGGTCAAAGGGTCACGAGCGTTCAGTTTGCCACTGCGACCGGATTGAAAGCTTATCGCGTTCAGGCTTCGGGGTGGCCCGACGAGCGTCATATGCGCGGGGCGCCTCGCTCTCGGCGAAGCTAGGCTCGCGTTCGCAACCGCAGAACACGCCGCAATCACTGCCGATGTGCCGCGTTCGCTCCCGGTTCGGGCGCCCCCAAAGGGACCGCGTTGGCTGCTCGGCGTCGGCGCGCGGCTCTAGACAGCTGCCAGCCGCGTCGGAGTCGTCGCATGGCGGTGGGGCGTTGTCTGCTAATGGGCGCGCCTTTCGATCGACCACCCTTGCGCCGCTATGTCACCGTAGTCGGGGGGCGGTCGGCGTCGATAGGTCGCGCGAGCGATGAGAGTCGCCGCCGGGTAGATCACGGCGGTGAGCGGGGCGTTCGCACGGTTGGCGCACGCAGGTGGCCCGTCTTCGGGGTCGCCCTGCGCGCGGACTTCCGCGGGCGGCGGCGGGCTGTCACCGTGAGAAATTGGGTCAGAGATCGGCTCTGGTCTCGCGTGCTCCGCAGGGCCACTTTCGTCGCTCGCAGAGTCGCACAACGAGCGCGCGCCGGCGGGCTCGAGGGTGCAATCTAAGGCCAAGACCATAGGCGCGACCCGCAGTCAGCCCGGGCCAACCCCGCCGCCGGGGCCTCAGCCCTCTCCCCTGCCGCTCGCGCAGCGGACGGCGACGGGCGGAGACGCGCGGTCTACGCCGTGGCGGCAGTTGCAAACAATATTCGCGCATGTCGAAGACGGGCTCCGCCGACGCCTCAATGTCGCGCCACGCCGCCCAACCTGATGCGTCAGAGAAGTCGCGGTCCGCAAGCGTGGTGTACACGAGGAACACATGTTCAAACGCTTCGCCATGATCGGCGAACGAGGTCGACGATGCGGGGCTTGCCGCTGGTATTTTGGGTTCCTCGACGGGGGCAGTCACGCGGAGGGCGGCCAGGTGGCGCGCGCGACCAGCATTCCATTGGCCCCTGGCAATCTCCCGCCACGGACAGCTCTGGGCCATTACCCGACCTGATGACAGTCGACGGGCGGGCCTTCCACGCGCCTTGCCCCGACCGCTGACGGGGGCGAGCTTGTGCAAATCTGCGTCGGCAAGTATTCGCGCCATCAAGGTGGCCCCTCGCCCAGATGGGCGGCCCCGCCACCGTCCGCCGGCCCGGCGCATGCGTCGCGCACGTCGTCGGGCCCGTCGGGCCGGTTGGTTGGCACATCGCCGGCGCTCCGCTCTGACATGCCGCGGGCGGGCGTAGAAGGTTGGATCAGCCTATTGAGGGGGTCGCCCGTCGGCGATCGCCTTGCATGCCGCCGTGCAATCGCTGTCGCCGTGGATCGAGACGGCGCCAGTGCCCGCGCCGTTGTCCGAGTCAGCGACGCCGCGCGTCCCCTCATTGGCGCGGTCTGTCGTAAACGGCAGGGTCAAAGACATTGGCGACCCTCTGCAGTTCTCAGCCCACAATATCATTGTTGAGCCGTCTTAGTCGAAATTCACATTGCAGATCTTTAGGGCGGAGTCGGTGGCGGTATAATGATGACAAAGGTTTCACCGCCGCCACGCATAGCGCCTCCAGTCAGCAGAGCCTCCTGTAGGCGAGCATATTGGGCGTGCGCGCCTGAGCCCAAATGGCAGCGGCGCCCGCAAGCAGGGCATCTCGGGGCCTCCCTTCAAACTCGGAGGGGGGGGGGGAGACGCCGCGCAGCCGTGCCAAATGGCATGCGTCTCAGGAATGCACTTGGCGGGCCAATATTATATATAAAACATATATGCCATCGCAGAGCCCCGCTATACTCAACAGGCATGAGGCAAGGATCGAAACTACTCGATCACCGAAAGCGCATGACGACGGCGAGGCGGCCAGCTCGACTTTACTCGAGCTAGCCGCCAGCAAACACACAGCGCCGAAGAAGAGGCGGAGTGCCGCCCGGGGGCGCCGGACAACGCGTACCCGGTCAAGGCGACCGAGTACCTAGGGAGCGAGGGCTCCCAGGCCAGGCGCCCTGGTGACAAATGGCAGCGCGGCCTCGACCTACCGCAGGTTCCCGAGACACCTGAGAGCTTAAGGAGGCACCAGCGACGCAAGCTGGCACACGGGCGCAGGGCGTAGAACATTCAACGCAAAAGGACACAATGCGGATTGCGATCGTGCCGCCGCGATCTCTCATCGGAAATCCACGTGTCTGACGATGGTCAGAAGTGCGTGTGAGCCGCCGGCGTGGGCGGTGCATCTTTCGTCGAGCTGCTGCGAAACCCCAGACAGACGGCCGCTAAAAACAACACTTCCGCCACGAACGTCATGGTTTTTAAACATGACAACGCAGAAAAACCAAGACATAGCAAACAAACTAGACAACTGTAGTTCTGGTGAAATAACGTGTAAGTTGTCGTTGGTTGGTTGTGAAGATGTTGTGTGCATGTAGAAAGCGTTTCTACTAAATGTAAGCGTTGCCTACAACGAGCTGTTGTTGCAGCTGCGTGCGTGATCAGCTTGGAACTGTTTCGTTGGGCGTTGGTAGTAGCGCCTCTGCGTCTCAAGGGTGGCGGAGCACAGGCGGAAGCCTAGAGGATAGCTTGGCGAGTCAGGGCAGGGGAACAGCGCGGACAGAGAACCCACCAGAGACGCAAAGCATGAGGGATGACGACGATTGTTCAAGCAAGAAAAGCAATTCTGGATTCTCGTAAAAGTGCACGCGCGTACGCGACATATGCGTTGCAACAACAACGCAATCTCTTTTCACCCTCGGATGGGGGCGCCCCCCCGAAGGGCGGCGCCCCGAAGGGCGACCGCGTGCAGGAAACGATGGGCCAGGAGCGACGAGTCTTAAGATCTCTACTGTTCTCAATGTTTCCTGGCTCTCTCCCTCCCTCTCTCTCTCTCTCTCTCTCTCTCTCTCTCTCTCTCTTTCTCTTTCTCTTTCTATATATCGTTTCCTCTCTCTCTCTCTCTCTCTCTTTCTCTCTCTCTCTCTCTCTCTCTCTCTCTCTCTCTCTCCCCTCTCTTTCTCCAGATTTTCATTGTAGCGCGCGAGTGCGTAGGGCGCCGCTCTCGGACGGGAGCGCACAGGGGCGCCGTTCTCGGAAATGTCGAAAGGCCTGCAGCCGGCGCCGCCGGGGGCCCGAGGCCTGAGAAGAAACGCGACCCCAAATCAGCAGGGCGGTGACAACATAGGGGTGGTGAAACATTTAGCCCACGGTGGTAAAACAAAAGGGTGGTGGAACAAACATCATATGTATATGTACATGAATACAGTTGCATGCGTACGTATATGTTTAAGTGTATGGAAATGTATGTGTACACGTATATGTATGACTTTGTGTTTGTGTTCATGTATGTGTTGGCATGGCCATGCTGTTTCACGTTGTCATCTACGCTGCTAAAGTATTATCCCACGGTTCCCTATCCATTCTCCAATCTTCCTTGCAATCGTTGCCAGGGAAACACCTGCAAAGCGGAAGTCGAGCAGAAGGGTCGTCGGCGGTGGTCTTCCTCGCCACTGAAAACACACAATAACGCAGTCTCTACCCACCTCTATTCGCCAAGTATGTTCGGATCCTTCTCCGTAGCCATCGGGAAATTCGGCATGGAACTACTCCACATCTAGGCCCTCTGCCCGCTGGCGTGGCGGCGGCAGAGACACAGCGCCATGTCTTCACATGTTTTCCTCCGCCTCCTTTGTTGAATGCGGCGCCGTGCACGCAACGAACAAAATCATGCGATTTCTACTAATCACCTCCCCTACCTTTTCCCCCTTCCGCCTTGAATGCCCCCCTTTCCCCCCCTGATTCCCCCCGCATCACACTCGGCTACCCCCCTAAACTTGGGCTGCCTGCGCGCCTGACGCAACGCAACAATCGCGCAATCTCTGCTCCTCTTCTCGCCCAAATGCGGAACGTTAAGTTGGCTGGAGAGAGCAGCGGCTGACTGGAAAAAACCAGCGCCCGTCCCGGCGGAGCCAGCCGACAACGAAACGTCTTATCATAACTCGCTTGTTGACCCAGAAATACGTCAGGTGTTTAACATAGTACCCCGTCTGAATACTCTGCCCC